TTAATCTTTTAAGGAACTAACTATTTCATTGGGATTTGGAAGAGGTGGACTGCAAGCACAGGAATAGCACAAGAGCAGGAGGTTCTTGGGTATCCACTTGGAAGAGACGTGTATAGAAGAACGTGAGACTGCTGCAGCATATCTTGGTAGATCGGGAGATCTAGCAGGATGGCTAGACAGTATCTACGGTAGCAAATCGCAAGGCTGGAATGAGCACCAGATCTTGGAGTTGAAGGGTTTACAACAGGTAGTGGAACTAGTTTGGAATTGAAATGTAACATACATTGTCTATAGTGGAGGTAACTGACTTGATCCTGGAGTTTTTACCCAGTTAAGGTTTCTCAGTTATCATATTGGTGTTGATTTACTGCTTTCATTATTTATTGTTTATTGATTATATAAACTGCAGTATTCAAAGACAGGCTAAATTGACTTGCATGATTAACCATCTAGAAACTAATTAAAAGTGAATTGTTGCTTTGATTAGTATTATTCTGCACGTAAGGTCGAACTTGTTATTAAAAAGCGTTTCTCAATTGGTATCAGATTTTAATTGGTAGAGAACTATGCGTATTGTATTTTTCAATAACCAAATCTAAGTGAGGGCATGCTTCTGATTCAAGCATTCTTTATTGTTTGAGAAATATTTATTATATGCCACATTGGATGTTGTGCATTTCAAAGTTAAAATATGTTCCATCTATAGCTCACAACTACTCTCCATTCTGTTCTTTTTGAACCAATGGACAACCGAATTGGGGGCTGGCCCCTTCCCCTCACCTCACCTCACCTCACCCAAACTCCCTTCTATAAGATTTACAAAAAAAAAAAAAAAGGTTGAACCCCAACCTCGAGAGTGCCACCTCGCCCCTAGAGCATCGTGGAGGAGGTAAATCGCGGGATGTGCCTCAACATGCCAGAATACAAGAGCTGTCATACGGTGCCCTACAAAAAGTCCAATTTCATCCCTTGAAAGAGGCAGGAATCAAACTCTCACACTGCGGCTGCCAGCTCAGTCGAGACTACCTCACTCCTATCATTTGCACCACTGAGCTATGTCCCGGTGGGCCTTCTATGAGATTTAAACTTGCACTGTGTTTTTGATATAAACACTAAGACACCCTTTGATATAAACACTAGGATTTCTGAGTTCATTAATCTCGATGTTACAGGTCTACATTGTGTCTTAAATTCACTTTTGCCATTTATTAAGTTGTACATGACTTGGATATTAAAGGATTAGAAGTCCACAAGGTGAATAGAGGAAATTTGAATGCTAAGATGAATGTGCGGTCATACTAAAATGGATAAAGTAAGAAATGAGAATTCGCCAAGAAGTGGAGGCGGCACGTTGTTGGTAAATTAAGGAAAAGATGACTTTGGTGCTTGGGCATGTTTTAGGTTGACTAAAAGGGGTTTCATTAAAGTGATTTTGGTAGACCAAGATAGAAAAAGGGGAATGAGTTTAAAAAAAAATTAACTTGGTCTGTTAAGGATTTAGTTTTTTAAATCTCGAAGTAGATCTGGCAAGAACAAAGTGGAATGACGCAGAATAATTAATGTATCCGACAATAAATTTATTGAGAATAAGGCTTAGTTTGTTGATGTTATTGTTGTTGTTGTACGTGACTCAATCTTTATCTTCAGTTAAAAATTGACGCCATTGCTGTTGATGTTCAGGCTGTTGGCATTATATTTTCACCCAGATTGCATTCTTTGTGAAAGTCTATAATTTTACACTTTGACACATTCTTCTTCCTTGGTCTCAAATGGTCTATCAAAGCCTAGTTAGCAGGTCACTTGAAATGGCAGAAGGATATTTCTAATGATTTTGTACCATTAAGTGCATGTTTGGCCAATCTTAAAAAGATTGGATTTGGATATTCTTGTGCCCTACGGGCAAATGTTAGGTAAGTTGGATTAGGCAATATTGTATTGTATAACACTTCACACTAAAAATGTACTCTACGAATCAGTTCAAGTTGTTAAAAAGACGGTGTATGTGATTCGTGAATTCAGAGTTCTTTATTCTATTGAAAAATATTTTGTAGAGGCATGCATGGTTTGTGGTCAGCATGTTTCATATACTACCGCAACATGCAATTTTTTTAGCTCTGTATAAGAAGGAACTTGGAATCTTCACCTAATATGAATGTCATTTAGGCCATTCATGCGCTGGAAGGCTTCCTTTTCGACTTTATGTCGACATTCTTTACATTTGCATATGTGAAAGATTTAACCTAATAGTATTTTTAAGAGAATGTGTGATTAAAAATTAAGAAATTTTTTTGAATTTACGTGTAAAATATTAAATGTATGGTTGAAAATGTTCGTGTAGCGAAAAGGGCTTTAAAGCAATGGGTACCAAAGAAGGACTTAATACGTGAAACAAAACGAGTAATGTTATTCATCCCTACTGGGATTACAAACACAGTTTTTAGAACCACCTAAATTTTGTTTATAACCCCACTGAAAATGAATAACATTACTCAAAACAAATGGCTTGTTTTGTAAAATTAACCGAATAACAATAGACTATTAAACTAAAAAAAAAAAGCTTAGCTTCTATCCATTAATACTTTGTCGTGTAGAATACTTCGTACTAAACACGTAACGCGTTAGTAGTACGGCCGTGGCCTTGCGTGCAATTTTTCAAAGTCTGCAATAGTGAAGCATAAATCAAGCTCAACCACAATAATGACAGGTTATTAAACAAACTAAATTAGATTTATTCTTTAGGATTAGGGCTACATGGTACAATCTTTTATTTATTTGAAAAACGTACAAGTCAAATTTCAATGACTTGCAATTCATAAATTATTTGGAACCCATTGGTAACGTCCGGATCATAATCCCTTGCTTATCTCTGCAAATCTCAGTCTATACCAACTAAAGCCTAAAATACAAGCGAAAACTTCTCAAGTGGAGAAAAATTAAGGCAAGTTTCTTCGAAAACTACATGTAGTTGAATAATCAATTTTTTTTAATAATATAATAAAAAAATGTAACTTGATGATTCTTGACTTGAGTTATTTGTAAGACTTCCTCGATGGCGGCTATTCCAACTAGACGATCATCGTTACGAGTAATTGTATTTTTTTTTTATAACCGTGGATNTTTATAACCGTGGATGTCCGGGTCAGCTTGCGCGCACCTCGAATAATATCACGGGGCCCTGAAGTCTACGGCCGGGTACTCACATCAGTGGCCCTGAGGGGACTCGAACTGATAACCATTGGGGAGCAAACCCAAGGCCTGACCAATTGAACAACCCCTCAAGGTTCGTTACGAGTAACTGTATGGAAGGTGTATAATTTCATCATTTTTATCAAACGTAATTTTTATCCTCAAATTTCGTAAGATTCACAACTAAACAATTCCCTGTTTGGGCCACATTATTTTTTTATTCTCATTCTTCTACTCATTTTCAACCACACATTCTTCAATAAAATAATATTTTCTATCATATCAATAATATTTCCTTCTTTTTCAAACACATATTTTACATTACGTCACTTCAAAAAAATGAATTCTCTCATTTTAATGTGTACCAAACGGGCTCTTATCAAATTATTATCATATATTTTGTAGGATCCGTAACTTATAATCACATTCTAAATATGCACAAAAAATTTTCTCTCTTTTAGTATGCTGCAGTAGATAAAATTATATCTAAAAATAGCATGTTGATTTCTCCCTCCGTCTATTTGTGTCATCTTCTTTGTCACTACATTGGCAAAAATCTTGTATTGGACATGAAGATGGAAATAGTTTTAGAATTACAAGTAACATCTACAACATTTCACTTCTGAAAAGTAAACTAGGGACTTTTCACAATAATTTATGGGTCTTTTCGCAATTAAACCATTGACGTCCCATCGATCAATTTTTTGTAACTTTTAACCTTTACTAGTGTTCTATAACTCAAACACATGGACGGTGTGCGCTTGTGCGTGTTGACACAATATCGGTGTCATATTCTTGTAGAGAAAGGTACAGAAAAACAAGAAAAGTGGCAAGGACCCATGCTATTTGCCTTTAACTTGACTCAATAAGACTTCATGTTACCTAGTCCTACAAGGCAAAAAATTTAAGGAAATTTTTTTTTTTGGAGAACCACAGTGGCAAATTTTATTAAATAATTAAAATCCTTAGAAAAAATTCAACTATTACAAATTATTTTTTAGCAGGAAGCTGTTTTAGACCAGGGAAGACTAGATGGTACACAACATTACAAAAGAAAAAAAGAATTATTTTTTTATTATTTTATATACTGCCTAATCATATTCAATAATATACTCTTAAGAACAAAATTAGTTGACTATACCAAAAAAGTACCTGGACTGATTGATAACCTGGGCATAGCTTGTTAAATAAAGCAGGGGATGTAGGCAGGGGTGGCTAAAGAAAGAATAGCTTTACATGCCTTTCTGTTATAAAGAAACAACCTTTTGAATCTTTGACAGATCTATCAAGAACCCGCTGGTCGGACACGGATAGCATTTTGGATAAGGTGGATCGGATACGAACAATCATATCTAGCACCGTGTACATAGGATTTTAATGGGGTCGAGGTCGAGGTCGAGGTCGGGGTCGGGGTCGGGAACGGGGTGGAGTGGGGTGTAACTTATTGGCCAAGTAAAAGGAGAGCGGCAGCCAGCAGCCTAAAAAAAAAAAGTTTAAAAGGCGGGCAAAATAACAAGAACTAAAACTAACTTCCCACAGAAAATAGGGAAAAGAGTGCAAAGAGAAGCAACTTAACAGCTTTCTTTCCTCATTTCCACAAATTAAACGTGTCCCCTAAGATCATTTTCCTCTCTGGTAATACCCCCCACCTCATATATATACCTACCAACAATTGTCGTCTTCAATCAAGAAATTAGTACACATCAAGAATTTCAGACAAAAGAACTCATTTTTTTTACTTGAGCCGAAATTTTTCGTTCAATCTAGTTCAATTTGAAGCAAGATTTTTGCTTAAAAAATATCCTGAATCAAATATGGAATCCGAAGGCAGTGTCCATGTAGAGATTTCTGAGCTTAACGCAAGGCTAAGTGAAACAGGCAGTGTCAGTCCAGCCATTGAGCCCCAAACTTGCTCTGTTGAGACCAAAAATAGCAGCACGGCTGATTCTGTGTCTCAAACGAGGCCTGCAATTCGCGCACCAGAAAAGAAACTTACCCTTTTTGCGCTTCGTCTAGCAGTGCTTGAGAAAGCAGCCTCAGGAATTGGAACTCTGGGATTCATATGGGCTACTGTTGTTTTACTTGGTGGTTTTGCCATCACTTTGGACAAAACAGATTTTTGGTTCATAACTGTTATTCTCTTAATTGAGGGAACTCGAATATTTAGCAGGAGTCATGAGCTCGAGTGGCAACATCAGGCCACATGGTCTATTACTGATGTTGGCATCAATAGTTTCCGTGCTATAAAATCGAGCTCAAGTTCGATACTTAGAAAAGTGAAGACGATTTTTAGGCCAGTTTTTAACTCCAGAAAGGCGAGCAATCGGAGCAGAAAGATTTCAGGGATGATGCGTCAAGCTAGCAGGCAAAATTGGGATCATAAGAAGATGCCAAGTCGAACATGGACGAGTTCAGAGGTCCCTCTTCTTCCTTATGCAAAATGGGTATTTATTTCAAGAAACGTTAGTAAGGTTTTATATTGGCTCCAACTTGCATCAGCAACCGCCTGCGTCGTTCTCTCAATGATCAAGCTTATCCATCGAAACTATGGAGAAATCGAGAAAGGCGATACGGATAAGAGGAACAGGAAATCAGCTCTAATTATATTCTATTCCTTGGCCTTGGCTGAGGCATTGCTGTTTCTCATGGAGAAAGCCTATTGGGAGTGGAAAGTCAGCTTTCGGAAACTATTAGATGAGGTGAACATGGAGTGCAATTTGGGAGAATCTGGCATGATTTCGATCAAAAGATTCTTCTATGATGCCTATTCAAAATGTGTCAATGGAAGCATTTTTGATGGTCTGAAAATGGACATGGTTTCATTTGCCATGGAATTGTTAGACTCTAATTCCCCCGATGAGCAGTTTATTGGAGCCAGAATCTTGAGAAAATTTGCTACAAGCAAGGTGTTTTCTGATGATACTCTCCAAAAGATTGGAATAAACTTATCGGTTATGGAAAGATTAGTCGAAATGTTGAATTGGAAAGACCCTCAAGAAGAAGAGATAAGGTATTCAGCTACAGAAATCTTGTCAAAACTGGCTGAAAAAAGGCAAAACTCCGTACGGATTGCTGGAATACCAGGTGCAATGGAATCAATATCATGTCTTCTGCACGTCAGCAGGAGCCATGGTGGAGCAACTGATCAAATTTCCGAGAAGAGAATAATCTTTGACGATGAGAACTATGGTTCTTGGGCATTCAATCATTTGGGGCTTCTCATTTTGAAGAAACTCGCTCGTGACCACGATATATGTGGAAAAATTGGTAACACGAGGGGTCTCCTACCGAAGATTATTGATTTCATGCATGCAGAAGAGAGGGTGTTGACAGATTCATCAGCTGCACCCTCTCAAATTTTATCTGTTAAACGGTCTCTTCAGGTTCTCAAGATGTTAGCTGGCACAGCAGGCACCGCAGGAAAACAACTAAGAAAAGAGATTTCTGAGATTGTTTTCACAATTAGCTATATCAGGGATATACTAAGGTATGGGAAAAAGCATCCCCAGCTGCAAATGTTGGCAATCGAAGTGTTGACTAGCCTCGCAATAGAAGAGGATGCAACAGAGAGGATTGGTAGCACAGGTGGAGTTCTTAAAGAATTGTTCAATATTTTCTTCAATGAGGAAATGCCTGAAAATCAGAGTCATGTAAGAGTTGCAGCCGGGGAAGCACTTTCTATGCTAGTACTAGAAAGTAAGAATGATTGTCAGCGTATTCTGAAATTGAGGATGAATCAGAAGCTCGTTAAAGCTTTGGAATCTCCATTGCTTCGAATAAATGCAGCTAGAATTTTAAGAAACTTGTGCGTGTACAGTGGAGAAGATTGCTTCGAACAATTGAAGGGACTCACTGATGCAGGACCTGCAGTAAGTTTGCATATCAACGCCCTTTTTTCAAAAGTTTTAACATCTGAAGTCCTCTTTACCTTGGAACGAAAGAAGTAATATTTATAACTTTTCCCTTTTTCAGGTCCTTCAAGCTATCATGAACGAAGAAAACAAATTACTCGAAGTAATGGTTGGAGTTGCAGCATGCATTTTCAAATTTATGTCATCTCAAGAAGCCAGCAACACATTTAAGAGAGTTCGATTTCCAGAATCCGATCTGGCCTACAAACTTGTCCAAAGTCTGAAGAATTATCAGTATCCCTCTATAAAAGTCCCAAACATAAGAAGACATGCTATAGAGTTAGCAATTTGGATGATGAAGGATAATGAGGCGAACATCCTAACTTTCTCAAGAGTGGGAATGCAACATGAGCTGGAGTCCGTTTTGGACACCACGTCTGAGCTGGAGAGTTTTAATATCTTCTCCGGGACTGTTGGCCTATGCCGGCATAGGACGACCATCCAAACGCTAGTTGAAACAGCCATGAAGCTGCTGGCAGAAAACTAAAACTCCAATTTGATCCAGGCAAGTGAAATGTTCTTGAAGATACAGAAGAGTAAGAATTGAAGGCTATTCTTTAATTTTTCTCAAAGATGGAAGCATAAGACTACTGTGAATTCTTCATTAACAGATACGTAATAATTTATCTGCACAAACCATGCAGGAACAAAATTTCAGTTTTCCTTA